CCTCTTCGACCTGTTTGTTTCCTCTCCACCTATCCTCTCCTCTATCCCTCTTCTATCCGCCTCCCACTCTCTCCCTATTCATTTCAAAACCCCCTTCCCCTCCCCCTTTTCTGATGAAGGGTCTCGGCCCGAAGCGTCAGCCTCTCTGCTCCTATGATGCTGCTTGGCCTGCTGTGTTCATCCAGCCCTGCACCTTGTTGTCTCAGATTCTCCAGCATCTGCAGTTCCTACTATCTATGAGACAAATCCATTAGTTCTTTCAGACATTGAGTGCATGACATAACTGTACTGAATGTCCTTTCTTTGTACATTTTCATGCATTGGTGTGATTCAAGAAATTCTGATCTGGGCACAGAACATCAGGGAATGATTACTATAACTGACTTAAAACTACTCAACCAATTCTTCAGGGTGGAATCCTGCAAGCAAAACTGACCGATATTTTAAAAGAGATAACAAGGTGTAGAGCTGGATGAACACAGCAGGCCAAGCAGCATCAGAGGAGTAGGAAAGCTGATGTTTTGGCCCTAGACCCTTCTTCAGAAATGGGGGAGGGGTAGGGGGTTCTGAAATAAATAGGGAGAGAGGGGGAGGCAGTAAGAAGATGGATAAAAGAGAAGATAGGTGGAGAGGAGGCAGACAGGTCAAAGAGGCGGGGATGGAGCCAGTAAACGTGAGTGTAGGTGGGGAGTTAGGGAGGGGATAGGTCAGTCCAGGGAGGATGGACAGGTCAAGGGGGCGGGATGAGGTTAGTAGGTAGGAAATAGGGGTGCAGCTTGAGGAGGGGATAGGTGGGAAGAAGGACAGGTTAGGGAGGCGGGGACAAGCTGGGCTGGTTTTGGGATGCGGTAGGGGGAAGGGAGATTTTGAAGCTTGTGAAGTCCACATTGATACCATTGGGCTGCAGGGTTCCCAAGCGGAATAATGAGATGCTGTTCCTGCAACCTTCGGGTGGCATCGTTGTGGCACTGCAGGTGGCCTAGGATGGACATGTCGTCTGAGAAATGGGAGGGGGAGTT